CCTTCTGCACCTACGACGAGCGCGCCCACACCTGTTCCTCACCCACGTACCCCTCCCCCTCCCTGCTGCCCGGTGGGGGCGGAGGCACGTGGAGCGGGGGGCGTCGTGCCATCCTGGCACTGCTGGTGCTGCTTTGCGGGGGTCCCGTCCTGCTCGCTCTCCTCTACGTCGCCTACCGCGTGGCGGCCCTCACCCGGGCCAGGAAGCAGCAGGCAGCGCCTTGCACTCCAGACACGGCTGCTGACGTGGAGCTGCCCAGGCAGGACTGCGCTAGCCCAGAGAACAGGACTTGGGACTGAAAGGAGCCCACGGAGCAGCAGGAGTCTTGGCCACCAGCATAAGGCAGAGCTGGCCCCCCTACCCCCTGGCTGTGCCGTCTTCTTTTGATACTACCCCTCCCTGCAAAATAAGTTTGTTCCCACTCGGAGCTGTCTGTCCTTGGTGTCAGCCAGACCCCGGGCGCATCTGTGCCCTGTAAGGCCAACATGGGTAGGGCTGATGGGGGGCTTTGCTCTCCTCTTCCCTGCCAGCGCAGCCTTGCCCCCCCCCGCCTGTCTCCCTTGCCCACCCATGGCAGCACCAGCAGCAAAGACCTGAAGGGCTGAGACAGCTGCCCCCCCTGCCCCATCCCTGCTGCATTGCGCATACAGCTGGGGCCCTTGCAAAACGCAAGTGGGGAACTGAGGGCCAAAAGCCTTGAGCTTCTCCCTGCCTGCCCCCACCAAGACACAGGCACCCCGTATCTGAGCCGCGCAAGGGTAGAAATGGCTTTTATCCTGCTTGGAGGGTCTCACCCCCATGGCTGGAGGTGGTCCCAGCATAACTGTGCACAGGAGGCCAGGGGCCAGCAGCACAGCACTCCCCGAACCCGGGCAGGGAAGGGAAGAGAAGGGGTTGGAGTTAGAGGCAGAGATGCACCACTTGCCTTTGATTTGTAAACGTGTCTGGCCTGGGCATCATGTTAGGGTGGCAGGGGAAAAAAACACCTGCCCTTTCCCCCCTGAATCCCCGGGCTCATGGGCTTCCTTTCCCCCCCTCCAGCCCTGTTGGTTTTCATGGTTAAGGCCCCTTGGCCCAGGGCCCGGCTGCCCAAGCGAGGGGGATTAGCAGGACGCTGGACACCAGACACAATCTTCTCCCCACCCGGCTCCAGGGGGGTGGTGAGACCTGCGCAGATCCAAGGCGCTGCCCCCCACGCTGGTGCTCAGAGTAGCCTTGGCCAGGCACCCACGACAGCT